CCTCCCCCCCCCCCCCGTCGGTCGGCGTCTCTCTTATACCCACCCCCCGTTGGTGTCTCTCTTCCCTTCCTCCACCCCTCTCCCAGCATCAGTCGGTGTCTCTCTCCTCCTTCCCCAGCTACTTGTTGATTCCTGCTAGCTGTGAAATGGTAAATGACTATGCTCTTCAGAGATCTTTGAGAACGCTTAGCATTGTGCCCTGCATTCAGATGACTGTATTGGGTGCCAGGAGATAAAGCTGCCATATACTTTCCAGGACCCCAGGGTGAATGAATTTAACTCTTTCACTGCTGCAGACCTGCATTGGCAGTCTTGGAACAATGCTAAGCCCCAGCTTCACATTGCAAACGATCCATGTGTACTGGTACACCTCAAACACAAACATCTTCGTTTTAAGCTCAGCACAAATCCCATTAACTTAGCAGCTTTAATTTTTATGGCAGTCAGTGGGGCTGGAACACTCTGGTTTGCAAGTAATTCAGCGTTGGTCTCCCGTTTAAACCCCCCCAGTTGTTCGATGTGTATCTCTCCTCCTCCCCAACTCACTCTATTCCCCCCAAACTCACTCTATTCCCCCCGGGTGTCTGCTGGATAAAACGTACATTTCTCCTCCTCTTTTACATGCATAGACCTAATAATTAAAGCTGCCTTGTATTTATGCTGACCCTCTGCCTTCAATACTTTGTCATTGACCTGGAATAAGTATGCACATCAGGAAAGTCCAAATAAAGTCCTTTTTTGCCTAGTCGTTAGTGACATGTAGTGACATGCTTGAAGAACAGAGAGAGTTAGCTTCATAGCAAGGCAATTAGAATTTGCATGTTTTCCCCCAAGGAAGGCTTCCTTTAATGTGTTTTTCTACTTTTTTCAGTCAAATTTGAGAAAACCCCTCTTGTTGTTATGTGTTTACATGCACTCAGCATACCAAGAAATATTAAAAAAAAAAAATAGTTCTTACCGTCTGTCCTTATAGAAAGACTTAGGATTGAAATTTGAGGAATTAACACGCAATGCAAACCTCTCACCCCTTGCAGCCCCTCGAAACATTACAAAGAAGGAGAAGCAAATAGAAATTTTAATCCTTTGCCCCCCTTCACACCTGAGCATAGCGTGAATGCACGCCGTGGTGATGCACGTTCACTGGCATTTGTTTCCATTGATTTTAATGGGTTCTTGGACAAGTGCCAAGTAGAAAGTGGTACGTGTCACAAATTTAGTGACACGTGTTTTTTACTGCACGTTCATGTGCGTTCTTACACAGGAAAACAAGTTTACTGTCGTTTGCGGTACCATTAACTAGATATGGCAACGCAAGTGCATTCCGCATCTGTGCATATTTCATGAGCGCACGTCAAAGCATGCATTTTTGTGCGTGTTTGATTCACGTTCACAAGACACCCATGTGTGAACGGGGACTTAAGAAACCTAGAAACCCCAAGCCTAGTAAAAGCAACAGCATTTTTAAAATATGTTTTTTAGTTTATGCAATGTGAATGGGAACAATTCTAAAATAGGTGTTATCCCAATTTGGCTGTGAAAATGAAAATACACTTTAAAGAAATAAAGTTCATGATATGTTCCTTAAAGTGAACCTTTACCCCTTTTGGCTAAAAATCACATCAGCATGTATCTCTGTATGCTGATAAAATCATCTTACATTCATGTGTTTAACTAATGAATGCATGATGATATACATATTTTCATTTTACTTACTATTTCTTACTTGTTTTATTTTAAAGATAAAACAAAGGTCCGCTTTAAAGGTTAATAAGTGAACATCATCTACAAATTTCTCTTGCAGTGCATCGTACAGCCCATGAATCTGGTGAAACCATAAGGAAAAACCTGTTTTTGTTATTTATTCCATATATTTCTCAATGTATACCACAGTATTGGATTACTGTATTTTACTGAATAGTACGCTGCCTCAAGTGCTTGACTGGTAGCGCGATGGTGCATGTGTTCGTGGTAGCTATGTATAATGCTGCAGCTCTACAATGAGAAAGGTACTGAGTACTTCCAGGAAGGCTGCCCTGAGCAACATCACATGAAACAAAGTGATGCTACTGCTCATGGACCACACTTCGATCAGCTATGGATTTTGTTTTACATGAATCAATAGGCATTATTAGACCATCTCAAGCAGAATATAGAGTTGCTTTGTAAGTGTGGTAGTGTAAGACTACTTTTATTTCAAAGGCTTTGCTAGAAGAATAGCATAATAAAATTGTCTGTATGAATAAAAGTAGGCACTCCACTGTCTCCACTGGTGTTGTTTTTTTAAATCAATTTCCAGAACATTAATTTGCTATACCAGCACTCTTCCTTTTTAGACGTACACTTGAGCTTTATACCACATGTCTTCTTGTTATTGAAAGTATGAATCAGGTACTTTAGAGCTACATTGATGAGTAACACATAGGCTGTATTTATGTTCTAAGCATTGCCCACTGGCTGAAACAACTTGGCTTCCTACATGTGAACTGTAAAAACACACATGCACTTCCATGCAAGTCACCAAGTTACTTTTGTATTACAGCTGTGTCCCTATATTTTGTATTCATTGAGTACTATAAAGAGGGCCATTTGAAGCTGTACAACACAGCGTCCTTTTTTTCCCCCTTGCTTAGAGATATTTTGTATTTTTTGGAGCCTATTGTGCAAAAAGAACACAGTCTTTTTCTTTTTCAAATTTAAGATAATTGCAAGCTATGGATGAATCATGGGTGACATTTGGTAGGCCATACCGTGCTGACTTTATAAACATTTTTGAAAACTAGTTTGCTGGGTTGTTGAATAAATGGTCTTTTTTCTGCTGACTTCTGTCTGTGCTGTGCACTTACTACGTGGTTTCTGTGTTATGTCTTTTCCAGATGAATGCTTTCAAAGCTGATAAGAGTGGATTGAGATTGCTCATGAAATGCATTCCATTTTTATTTTTTTGTGCAACTTTTAATTGTACCTAAAATATAGTAAAAAAAACACTTAAAGTTATTAGACATTTTAAATTCAAAATTAACCATTCTTTTTGTCTTTCCTGAGTGAAAATATAGATGACCTTCTCCTACAATCACCTTCTTCCTTCTGGTTTAGAAAATACAAATGTAGGGTTTGTTAGCAGTGGTAACTAATGTTATAGCTTGTGAATTAGACCTAGCAGGAGCAGAACAAGGCTGATGGAAAGTGATACCACTCAATATTACAGTTTTTTTTTTATTCCTAATGGAATTTGCTGTTTGTTTAAACTGTGCCAACTCTCCCCTCCCTAGCTGCCTACTTACTTTATTTCCTGAGCCACTTTCTCCTCTGTTGTTTACAGCCTGTTCTGACGAAAACCTCTTTAGAGCTGGCTGCTTGAAAGTTGTCATTTATTATGACTTGCGATTCTTGCTATACAGCTCAATACAAGTCAAACTGACGCACAACGAACTGATTTAAACAGAAACATTATATAAAAAGGGGTGTTAAACGTACGTCAGTACTTTACAATGCAGCCAGAAACTTAGTCTATAATAAGTTTGTTAAATCTGACACTTGCTTACTTTTTGTAACTAAATGTATTATGAATCTGAAAACTAGGCCAAAGCATTTATAACTACATAATTTCTTCACAAAATATGAATTATTGTCTCCTCGGGTAAAATGCATGGTTTATCCTCTCTCAGAAGATACTGTCAATGGTGGGTGACTCATGGAGTTGTAAAAGTTGTTAGTGTAGGGGTACATGCCTATTACAGGGATTCAGTGCTAGCCTGAGCTACAGAGAAAAAACAAATGTTGGTGCTTTTTTCAAATGATTGCAAAATGAACAAACAGTGTGGCCAGACAGTGGGGAAAGACAAAATAATTCTGGGGTGCATCACTAGTGGGATTACCAGCAGGAGAAAGAAAGTCCTGATTCCCCTATAAAGATCTTTAGTTAGACCTATTTTAGAATACTGTGTCCATTTCTGGAGACCTCACTTATGACAATATATTTATAACATGGAATTGGAGGTCCAGAGATGACCAACAGAAAGGATGAAAGGTCTAAAGAATAAAACATATCAGGAGAGACTGCACAAGCTTAAAAGAGAACTATTGGGAGAGTAAAATATACTCTTCCCAATAATTTAAGTCGGCATGTGACCCTTCAGCTGTCACATGCCGGCTCTTTAACTCAAGAGCTGAGTAATCACAAACCGCTGATTGCTCAGCTCACAGTTTTCCCCTGCAAAGATTGGTGACTGTCAGTCACAGCTCCCTGCAAGGATTCCCCCTTCCCTCTCTCTGTTCCTCCAGCGCTCATGGGAGGGGACAGGCACAGATGGCTCGGGCTCTACAGAGGCAGAGCCAACTGTCAATCAGGCAGCCGGATGGATCCCGACAATATTGTCGGGAACTTTCCCGGTTGAAGCACAGCTGTGTGCTGTCAGCATATAGTGGGCTTAATGCCCTGTATATGCCGATTTTGGGTCACAGGAGGACATTCGCAAATGTCCTCCTGTGACCCAAAAAAGAATTAAAGCCAAAAAAGGTTTGGTTATAATTCTCTTTTAATATGTAGAGTCTTGCTGAAAGAAAGGGGAGTCGTGATCGGAATCTCTCAAATATTAAGGATTTAAATAAAGTTCAAGAACACAAGGACACAACTAGCAGGAGGAAAGTTAAAAACTAACCTTAGAAAGTAGTATTTTACAAAAAGAGTGGTTGATACTTGGAGCAGACTTGCAGCAGAGGTAGAGAGTAAGTTAATAGTAAGTGACTTTAAACATGCTTGTGAGAAACATAGATCTATACTCAGACAAAAAGGTTAAAAAACAAACAAAACATACAAGCAAAAATAAAAACTCAAAAAAGGGGTGGACTCGGTGCTCGGTGGACCACTTGGTCTTTTATAATAATCTCTAATAATGGGTATCTACAGTGTCTTCTAATTGTAAGCTTGTAATGCTTTTTTTTTGTTTTCAGGATTTGTTCAGTTTTTGGAAGGATATTACATTGTGCTGATCACTAAAAGAAGAAAAATGGCTGATATTGGTGGCCACTCAATCTACAAAATTGAAGATACTAGCATGATCTACATTCCCAATGATTCTGTACGTGTTAGCCATCCTGATGAAGCCAGGTAAAATATTTATGGAACATACAAAATAAAATATACAGAGAAGACTCTGAGATAGGATGGCATCTGGAGATCCCTGCAAAGTGGTCTATTCCCCTGCTGCAAAGGCACAAACATGCACATTTGGCTGATGTGAACTGCCATTCACCTTCTGAATTCTGTAGGCAGCTTTACAGTCGATCATAAGAGGTGTGTCGTTACCATCAGTGGAAGATGAAATACAGATAAATAAAGGAACAGATATTTGGGGAGGTACATTATTTGTGAGGGCTAAACTATTACAACAATTTAAACATGACCATTCTGATTATTGCAAATGCCAATTCGTGACTGTTCCTCTTTATATGTTGTTCCATACTGGGCAACCTATGTTTAAAATTTGTAGATATTATATTTTTTACCTTTTTGATCACTCCATTTTTTTCTTTAACACTTACACTAGGCAATTATCCCTGATAACATCCAGGTGAGTTACCTGACCAGTAATCTGGTCTATGTCTAAGTAAAGGTGGCCATACACCTTACAATTATCTGCAGATTTTTTGTGGTCAGATGGAAAAGGTGCAACAGATTCCTCCATCTACACTTAACTGCGTGGGTGGAGTAATCTCCACCTGGGCCAAGCTTCCGTAATCTTGCTGGTCGGCCCCGCTGGCTCTCAAAATGCCTGAACAATGCCTGCATCCAATGAGATTGTTCAGGTATTTTGACAGCCAGTTGGGCCGACTAGCAAGATACTGAAGCTTGGCCCAGCAGGAGATTCCTCCATCCACACAGCTTAGCATAGATCAGGGGTCTCAAACTCAATTTAGTCGGGGGCCACTGGACACATTTTCTAGTCCAGTGGGGGCCGCTACTATATACGGTACCAGTGTTAATGTATGCACATGTATACAAGCGGCAACTGTCACCCATTCAAATTAATGATCGGGTGACAGCTGCTGCATGTAAACGCCTGCACACTGCATGTAATCATATGTGAAAGGATTACATGTAGTTAGGAATCTGTCACTATCCCTGGATACACAGCTGTGTATCCAGGGATAGTGATTGTTTTTGTAACTGCATGTAATCATATTACATGCGGTATGCAGGCGAGTCCGTGACCGTGTGCCCGACTTGTCAGCTGGCTGCGGGCCACTTAGTACCAGCTCGCGGGCCAGAGTTGGCCCACGGGCCGATACCTTGAGACCGCTGGCATAGATGGAGGAATCTGTTGCACTTTTTCCATCTGACCACAGAAAATCTGCAGATAATTGTAAGGTTTATGGCACCTTCTAAAGCAGCGGTTCTCAACCTTTGGGTCGCAACTCACTGTTGAGTCTCTCACTGCTGCGCTAGGTGAGAGGCTCCTCAGCCTCCTCCTAGCGCAGCAGTGTCAGTCAGCAGGAGGACAGCAGAGGCTGTGAATATAAAAGTGCTGCTATACACACTCACTGGGCGCTGCAGCGACATCTGGTGGCTGGGGAGTGTGTACAGCAGGGCTTTTCTATTCACAGCCGCTGCTGTCCTCCTGCCTCCAATACAATGTGAGCTCTGCAGGAGGCGGGCGTCTAAGCAGTGCTGGGGCTGATAAGGCTGCATAGAGACAGAGCAGGTAGCAGGGGCTGGGGAGGGCTTGTATTCTTGTGAGTGTGCTTCTATTTTTAGTCCCATGTCCAGCGCCTTACTAATTCTGGAGTACAGCGCTCCGTTGGGGGTCACAACAACTTGGCAAATATTACCAAGGGGTCCCGGCACTAGAAAGGTTGAGAACCACTGTTTTAAAGGGAAGAAAAATAAACCACAATGGTACACCATTTCTTCCATATTTGTTTAGGAGGTTTTCTGAATCGGTAGCTTTGTTACAAATTGTGTTTTTCAACTCACTATGTAATAAATATGTTGATTGGATGTAAACATGGATACCCAAAACCTCAGAAGGTGATTTTCTTGTGCAGTTAATTAAGCTGTGTTAATGTGCCCAGACTGGCTTTCAACTGTGACTCAGATCAGTATTTGTAATCATTGTCAGGATCTAATCTTGATTCTTGTAATAGGCAACATTAACTGAGTATATTTAGCAACTGGAAGCATAACATATTTTGCATTTTTCCTGCTTGTGTGATTAGAAAAAATAGAAATAACTGAATCCACAGTGGATAGAATAATAGAGCTTTGCATTTTATTTAACAATATAACTATACTTTAGTGCTTGGCTTAGCATGGCATGTAATTAATCAGCATATTTTGTAAAGAATTGTATATTTATACACAGTATACATAAATATACATAGGCTTCACATTTCGAGATGTATCTAGGTATACCTTTTAGGTCTGTTCCCAGTTGAATGTTATTTGAACAGCAATAATAAAAATCCTTTTTTGGTCAACTAGGGTTGTCTGTATGTCCGAACCATTTCCATCTGCCCTTGTTAAATTGTTTAAGCAGCAGATCTAGTTACTCCTAGGTCACTGACTGTGTCACCTAAAAATGCAAACATGCATTATGAAGAGTAAGCCGGCAACTATGAGGAGAGATATAACTTCCACTGCTTGATCATACAGCCTTCTACTCTACATATGACGTATGACTAAGGCATTTCCTGAACAGAAAAAAAATAAAGCATTTGTGGCAAAAATGCATTTGCCTTTGCGCTCCAATATTCTATAAGTTATGAGCATAATCCCCAAGCATTTTAGCTTCTCTGTAGGCATACATTCCCAGAAACTTGATGAATAATATTAGTTTTCGAGTGTCTGCAGTAATCTTCATTCCTGAAGATTTATACTCTTCAGTGGATAACTTGAGAGTGAATTTGTTCACTTGGATAAGGTAAAAAAAATCAACCCCATGGGATCAATTGCTTCCCTTCTGTGATCATGAATAATTTGCTTTATTAAAGCCTCACAGTTTTCTATACTCCTCTCCAAGCTTCTGGAATCTTCCCCTCTACTATAATTTCCATGTTGGCTTCTACTGCTTGTATGTCACTTGCTTGTCTGGAGTCCTGTGCTGGATTAGTTGACCATCTATGAGCATTACCCTAAAAGCTGCCTTGCTTAGCTTGCAACAAACATACATGTTTAAATTCACATTGCTGTGGTTGTACCATAACTATCTTTTAATTTTCAAGATATATATCCCTAGGCTATGCTAATGTTTATTATTGTATTTCTATGCTTAGGTATTTAAGAATATTTCAGAATGTAGACCTATCAAGCAATTTTTACTTCAGGTAAGTGCATGGGGGAATTTGTCAATTTGGTCGTAACGTCAGCATCTTTTTAACTGTCTTATCCCTGATTTCTAGTGCATATAAAAACCTAATGCCTAAACGCCTTCATTAGGAGAATTGTCTCTAAATCGTCTCTTAAGTTTACTCTGTCTCTAAATTGTCTCTATAATATCGCAAGCTTTCTGGAAACCTCCTGGTTGACAGCTGAATAGTCCCGAAGCGCTCAGCTGACTTGAGGATGGGAAGGTGAATTATCTTTGCGGGACTTTAAGAAGTGCGCCAGCTTGAGGGTCTTTTAATGTCCCACATGCTGGACCCAAATACTGCATAGTTGAGAAATTATGCAAAATGTCAAAACTATGTGCAGTGAGTTGCTGAAATAATTAAGCAAGAACACTTAAAAAAAAGCATAACAGAAAAAAACTTTGTAGTTAGTTAGCATGACATTTTAGTCTTTGTCTAAAAAATGTTCTCGCAGACACATTCATAAATTCCCCCGAAATTATTCACCCCATTCATGCATTCCCTTCAAAGTTGTCTGTCATTATATACACCATAAACTGTCTTTTTTGTTACATTTTAATTGAATGCCCATTATTATTTTCGCTGTAAGCAGTAACATAATAGACAGATGAAGAACATGGCAGAAACGCAGTGAAGACATTTACTTGGCTTTATTTGTAATAATCGCATATATTTCAGTGAACCTTACTTTCTCTGTGCTATATTCAAGACAATTATTTTGCCTAAAATATTCTAAAGTATAGCCGCAGATGAACTGAATCAAAAGTATTTTCTAACTGATAATGCAGCTTTGTATCATTGATTGTTTTGAAATGCTTTAGCTCAAATAAAATCCAACTTTTCTTTGCCTACTGTTTTCCTGCACTGAGTACTGAAATAAAGGTGAAAACACATCTGTAGTGAACAACTTTTTAAAGTGACACTAAACTCAGAAGTGAAATCATAACAATGCATTGACGTACTCCTAACTATTAACAAAAATGTACCTTATTTGTGTGTCACTCGGCTGTAGATCCTCAAATCATCTCTGAATTGGTACTGACACTGTCCTTCCTTCTAGTGGGTGGCTACTTTTGTTCCCAATGGTCCCTGTGTGTTGTAAAGTAACCACCGCTCCTAGCTCGCTCCAGTGATGGACTACAATCTCAATACAAATTAGTAAACTAAACGTGAAATTGTAGTCTATCATGGGAGCGAGCTTGGAGTGGTGGCTGCTTTACTACACACACGGGAACCATGGGGAACAAAAGTAGCCACCCTCCAGAAGGGAGGACAGTGTCAGCATGGATTCAGAGATGATTTGAGGATCTACAGCTGAGTGGTACACAATTAAGATAAATTTTTGTTAATAGTTAAGGTACTTGAATGTATTTTTATGATTTAACTCCTGAATTTAACGTCACTTAAAGTTTCAACGTTTGTCCTGCTGTATGTAAAATTCATAAACCAGGGCTCTGGCAGTCCAATTGTTCCGAGTCCTGATGAAGATGGGGACATGCATTAGCAGTAGTCAGAGTTTAGTCAGGTGTCAACAGGCAATGCAGGTATCACATAAAATAATAATTTCAAGCTGTGGTCATATATAACACTAATATAATAAAGGGGTTGGCTGCACAGGGAAGTGAAAAGTAGGTATTGATTGCTACAAATACTCTAAAGTATATTTATGTGACTGGATCACCTCCATGAGCTAAAAACTAATTGAAAAATTTTCCACTTTCAATGAAATGCCTGCCTTACTCATTGGTGAGGCATTGGTGGGCACTTTCGCCTGTGATCCCCAGAGTTGTCTTCTTTTGTTTTAAGTTAGCAATGTTCCCTTTTCTGCATCCCATCCCTGTGTCAAAGCGGCCGGGTATGCTGGATCTCAACTGCGGAAATACAATGGGGTGGTTTGGGAGAAGGTGGTTCAGTGGGCGGTTCCCCAGTACACTTAGTGCGGTGGGGATACCGTACGCATCATATGCCACCTGAACTGGGCTCCTAGCAACTCCCCTTTGTAGGGGTGAACAGGTCCTCTATAAGGTATCTCGGATTACAATGAGGAGGGCAGATGACTACACTAGGAGTGGTACTAAGTAAGCAAATATCTATATATATCACAGCAACCAGTATGGTTAATCAGGTGTAGCAGTTCTTGGCAGAGTTCCCTATAATGCTTACGGACACCAGATATCATGGCATGTAACCGCAATTGAATACTTAGCATCATCAGATGGAGGTTAGATAGGCCTCTACAGTAGTAGTTATGTGCATGGTGAAAGTATCAACCAGTATAGGCTGGACAGACCTTTACAGCATTAAGTTATGAACTATGGAGAGCTTCTATATGTAGTAACAGCAATAAGTTATGCACTATGGAGAGCTTCTATATTGAGTACATATAGATTCCATACAGTTCGGATATAATGCCATGCAGAGACAACAAGCAGTGATCACCGCAATACAGATATGCCAAGCAGCTGAGGCAACGGTATGTCTGAGTTATCAGTCCCAGGGTACTTGCTCTTTAGATGTGGTGTTCGTTGCAGGGGAGAAATGGGAAGGCTTGCAGGACCTCAGAGCAGGGTCTATGGCTGTGTCTCCGGCATGGGCACTCTCCAGACAGCAGTTTGTCTGAGAGAGTCGTATAGGCAGAGCTGGCTGGGTTCACCGTTCGTCACTCGACGCTCTACAACGAGAGAACGCAGAGTGAACGACACAGCTTTACGCGCGGGGCCGCGCCCCCGTGGGAGGAGCCTGGCGTGACGTCACCACTGAGACGGCGCGCCGAGGGAATGAGGGGACGTGGCGGGTGAGTCTATGACACCCTGTCACCTTGAGGAGGACACAGTGTCCCTGAAATGTCCTTTTTTAAATTTCTTGTTTTCTCTTCTGTTTTCTACAGAATGTTATTATTGCAACTTAGACCTTCTTAAATTACAAGGTCTGTAACCTTAAGTGCGGTGACCATTTGTTCTCTAGCAAGAGAAGGGTTTTTTTTTTTTTTTAACACTTCTGATCTGTCCCAGCTGAACGTTACCCTGTGGCCTTGTGTATAGCTCGACATGCAGCTAAACCCTCCTATTCTGCAATAAGCCAGACTGGATGAAACCTTGAAGCTTTATTAACAAAACAGGGTGGGTGAAACTGTTAAAGAACATGAAAACATAATCAGTATATGAACATGTAAATGAAGTGATAGGTCACAAATATTCAGAGAAACAAGTCCATTCCTACCAGCTATGCTCTCCTAAGGGAAATCTGGGCGTTGAGGGCAAGTTCACACCAGCTCCAATGCATTCCAGCATGATTCGTTGCCGGATCTCGGCCGGATTCCTGCGTTCAGGGGCGGGTGGGGGCGTGGTGGTGCATTGAAGTCAATATGCTTTAAACTGCACCAAATGTGTGAAAGAAAAAAGAAGCATGTCTTCAGAAGTCATACTTTTTATTTCTCTTCTGTAGTTTATCAAATAAATAGTCGCAAAAAATAAATCAAGGCAACTGGACTTGCTATTTTTTTAAAGATGTTTTGCTGGCCATCCGACTAGGTATCTCAATTCGAAATTTGATGACCAGAGAAATATCAAGAAAAATACAGCAAGTCCAGTTACCTTGATTTATTTTTTGCAGATATACCTTGACCTGGATGAATGAGAACCTTCACAGACACAAATAAATACTGTTTCGGAATTAACTGTTGTAGGTACAACTTTGTATTATACCCAGTGTGCTGAAATGATTGTTATATTCTGATATGTGGAAAGGAAGACTTAAAAACATTATTTGTGTAACTTTTTGCTTCTCTGTATGTAAATCCATGTATGTTATTTCAGCACATAATCGAGTATTTTGATGAGACCAATAAACCGCTTTGGCTATTAAACAGACATCAGTCCAGTGCATTAGGGGTTAATATCCATAAAAAAAAAAAAAAAGATTGCTATTTGCTGCTGAGTGCTAGGCAAGCCATTGCCCCCATGCCTGACCCTTTATCGAGCTGCCTCCCAGCAGAAGTGAGTCATTCGACACACACTTGTCAAACAAGCAATTAGGAACCGGAAGTAATATATTCCACAGATTGCCATAGTAACCATTTAAACACAGTACAGTTGGAGTGAGATAATTGGAATACAGATCATTTGTATTCATACATACTAGAATACAAGTCATCTGGCAAATGGTAGTTAAAGCTTGTAACCCCCTTACTGGCTTCTCAGAAATATCCAAGAAAACATTTAGATACAGTACTTTAGTAAGCGTGTGGTCAATTCTGTCACTTCAATTGGCTGTTTCATCTTACTCCGTTCTCTGTCTCTAATCAACTCCCACAGACCTGTGCTATTCAACAAACTGACTCTCGCTTCTGCAAGTTGATGGACAGTCCTCCCATTGTCACCATGGTAACTAAAAGCAGCTGATTCCCCTCATTGCAGTGCTAGATATTTTAAGGGGTTTTCTTTTGTTTTCCGTCTCCTTTCCCTAAGTATTAGCTTTGTGAAAGAAGTCCACTGAGCACAATTTGTACCTAAACAATATGCGATTTTATATCATTTTAAAATAACTACAAGGTGCACGTTTTCTTTAAATATATTTCCCCAGTCATCTTCCAGGACAGCCCATGAGAGAAGGCTCTGCCTGCCTGCAACAAGAAACAGATCAACCACATTAAATAAAAAGACTCCTTCCATTCCAATTCAGTTTTTTTGTGTTTCCTCCGGCTACACAGGGGCATCGTAATGTTTGCTATTTTGGGCTCATTATTTGATTGCCTTTGGGCAGAGCCTGACCCTGCATGTGTTGGGACCACTCCGGGCATAGCCTGCTGCGGCGCATACAGGGTCTTTTCCCCTATCGGACCCCCATCCGAGTTGGCCAAGGTTCCCCTCCGTCGCTCAGGGAGGGAAACCATCCTCCTGACGTGAGTGGCTCCAGACGGTGGCCCCCCCTGGTGTGCAGTGTGGTGAGTCCTAAGTGGCGATGAAGCACCCCCTTGT